GTGGTGACCCCACCCTCCTAATGCCGGCCCTTAACACAGCTCCTCATGGGGCGGTGACCCCACCCTCCTAATGCCGGCCCCTCAACACAGCTCCTCATGGGGTGGTGACCCCACCCTCCTAATGCCGGCCCTTAACACAGCTCCTCATGGGGCGGTGACCCCACCCTCCTAATGCCGGCCCCTTAACACAGCTCCTCATGGGGCTGTGACCCCACCCTCCTAATGCCGGCCCCTCAACACAGCTCCTCATGGGGCGGTGACCCCACCCTCCTAATGCCACCCCTTAACACAGCTCCTCATGAGGAGATGACCCCCAAACATAAAACTATTTTTGTTGCTACTTCATAACTGTAATTTTGCTGCTGTTACGAATCCTAATGTAAATATCTGTTTTCCGATGGTCTTAGACGCCCCCTGTGAAAGGGTCGTTCAGCCTCCAAAGGGGTTGCGACCCACAGGCTGGGAACCGCTGACTTACTGGCTCTGCTGTACTCATGGTGCCTCCAGTGGGGGCCGGCGGGGGGGAGGAGGGGGGTGGTTACTCGACAGCAGCCAGGCACGGCTTCCCCACCTCAGGGAAGGGGTCGGGTGACGCGGGCTGCCAGACCAGCTCATGTGCTGGTCACTGAGGCAGAAGTCAAGGCCCAGAGGTTAGGGTGACCCTCCTCAGGAGGCTCAGGGCAGCTACCCAAAGGGGGAGCAGACTCTGCACCAGCAGGCATGCACACGGTCATGGACTTAGAACGTTTTCTCACAGAAACACGGCCGACAGGAGACCTGGCCGGGTGGCCAAACAAGGCGATGGCAGGAAGCTTGGGGGTGACGGCAGGCTCGGCTCTAGGAGGAAGGGAGGCCTCTCCTCACAGACGTTTCCCACACTCCGTAGGGCAACCCTGGACCACTCTACTCAGTGGGTTCCTGTCTCCAGAATACTGTCCCCCTGCCACCATCTTCTCACCCTCTCACCATAACTGCTTTCAGCTGAACTTCAAAAGGAAACAAATTAGAGTCAATGTGTGAATTAAATGTAAACCATACTTGCTAATCTTAATAATTACCTAACTGTGGGTCTTAAATAGTATACAAAGTGAAAAATAGCAGGCAAGCAAGATCTTTCAAAGTCGGTCAGTCCTCCCAGCGGTCCCATCTCCCAGCAAACACCACCCCTCCTCCTCCCAGCCTTTCACACACGTTCTCCGGAGCCGCCACTGCCACTCACGCTCCTGGCGGTGCAGGTTTGACAGTGAGAGGGCACCTGTGAGATGCAGTGCAACACACGTGTGATCTGCGAGTAAGAAACCATCAGCTTTACTGAACTCTGGCTCCCGCTCAAACTGTTCCTGTGGGCTAGCCCTCCAGCCTCGCTGAAATCCTTTTCACCAGCGTCACAATTCGACGCAAAAGACTTTCTTTTTTGCCATTGAAGCAACATTGCCGTTCAGACTCAATCGCTGCACTCACCCCTCAGGGGTCTTCAAACTACGGCCCTCGGGCCACATGCGGCCCGCAGAGGAGTCTGATCCGGCCCGCCAGGTTTTTTGGGCAGTGAGCGCAGCCGAGGTGTTACAGTAGGAATTAGTAGTTCATATAGTCCGGCCCTCCAGCTCTCTGAGGGACGGTGATCTGGCCCCCACTTTAAAAAGTTTGAGGACCCCTGCGAATTGCTGTTCACGAACCCTGAGTTCCTGGGGCCTGACTGGCTTCCCTCTTCCTCTCCCGCAGGTCGTGAAAGCTTTTGTGGTCTTATCTGCGCCCTACAAGTCATCCGACCCCGAGCAGCTCACGCGGGAGCTGCAGGAGCACGTGAAAAACGTAACCGCACCGTACAAATACCCCCGGAAGGCAAGTACTCTGCCCCAAAGCTGAGGGTATGCGACCGACCAAGGTCTCCGCCAGGAAGTATAGACTAGGTGTACCCGTCAATAATGCGGATTCTGTAATCAAAGAAAACACAATAGTTTCAAGAGAAACATCAGAAGTGCTTTATTCAAAGTAATGTCCATCGCTAGCTACACATTTCCCCCATATTTCAGGTAACTGGTGGGTACAGTCCCAACAGAACTTTTCTTGTTTTGAGGCAAACCATTCAGAGACCCCATTTTCCACTTCTTCGTACGTTTTGAAGTGCTGCTCAGACAGTGCATGTGCCATTGATCAGAAAGAACAAGGGGTCATCTGAAGGAGCAAGGTCTGGTGAATACAGCGGTGGGCTAATACTTCCCAGGCAGGATCTTTTAACGTGACTTTAACCAGTTTAAAGTGTGTGATGATACGTCATCATGAAGCAAAATTACCTTGCAGTGTCATCTGGCACATTCTGGTCGTTTTATGATCAAAGCGTGGTTCCAATTGATTATTAGATGTCGGTAGTGATCAGTATTAACAGCTTCTCCTGGGTTTAGCAGCTGATAGTACACTACACCTTCCGGGTCCCCCAAATGTCTTCTTTCCGAAGCGATTTGGCCTGGCAGTCAATGTTGATGGTTGACCTGATCAACCCATGATTTTGTGCGTTTAGGATTCTCAAAATAAATTCACTTTTTATCGCCAGTCACAATTCGATACAAAAAAAACTTTCTTGCCGTTGAAGCAACATTTTATGGATGAACATTTGTTTTTTGTTCAGTGGATGTTTCACCCATTTTCCTTCCTTTAAAATCTTTCCCATTGGTTGTAAATGATTAGAAACTGCTGATTTAATCTTTCTGCAAGTTGTTTTTGAGTTTGACATGCATCTTCATCCAATAATGCTTGTAATTGTTGGTCTTCAAAGTTTTTTGGTTGACCTGGATGTTGTCTTTAACATTGAAATCATCACTTTTAAAGCGTTTAAACCAGCGTTCACAAGTATCTTGAAATGGAGCATGTTCACCATAAGCTTCCCAAAGTATACGATAACTTTTTCTTCAAAATAATGAATTAAAACTTCCCACAAATTCTTTTTTGGCACAAAATTCAACATTTTTAAGTTTAAAAATATCTATGATGTTAACACCTTCAGCAAATTTGACATGAAGTTTTGAAGCTTGCTGTCAATACAACAAAATAGCATACATATCAAATTACATATATATCAACATACGTGTAACTCCATCTATTGAAAAAAATCCACATTATTAACTGGTACACCTAGGAGATCTTATTAGCTTTTTATTTAATTTTAATTTTTTTAAATCTTTACTGTTGAAAGAATTACATATGTCCCGTTTTTTCTCATTATAAACAGAAGATATACATTTCAATTTGTTAAGCTCTAGGAGCTTTGCTTTAAAATATATATATATTTTTTTAAATATATTTTATTGATTTTGTACAGAGAGGAAGGGGGAGAGAGATAGAGAGTTAGAAACATCAATGAGAGAGAGTTATCGATCAGCTGCCTCTTGCACACCCCCTACTGGGGATCTGCCCGCAACCAAGGTACATGCCCTTGACCGGAATCGAACCCGGGACCCTTCAGTCCCTAAGCCGACGCTCTATCCATTGAGCCAAACCGGTCCTGGCTGCTTTAAAATATTTTATACTAGGACACTACAAATGCTTGATAAACCAGAAATTTTAATTAACTCTATAGTACTGAGTAACTAGTAAGAAGCCTCATAGGACTAAGTCAGTCCCATTCCATATGAGGGGGGGAAATGGTGGCAAATTGTTCCTAAAGACAGTACCAGATTCAGCTCCAGAGTGCTCTTGGGCCTAATATACTTGGAAATTCAAAGCACAGGCCTTGAACTGTCAGTTGGAATCAAGTGTCTCACGATGTTTTGGTGAGCAGGTGGAGTTTGTCGAGCAGCTCCCAAAGACCATCACGGGGAAAATCAAGCGCAACGTCCTCAGAGACCAGGAGTGGGGACGGACATAGCCGGACGAAAGCGAGGGGGAAGTACCGACACAGTGGCTTTGTTTCCTGGTGGTTCAGTGACAACTCTCTTAAAATGCTAAGATTTTTTCCTGGCTGAAAACTCAACTGAATCCATGTTTTGTACTTGGCCAAAAAATAAATAAAATCTAAATATTGGGAAGAAAACTGTTATGATAACTAAATCGACACAGGCAATGACTATGATTAATAGTGTTTAAAATTGCAGGGATCAAATGACTGCTTTGGAAATATAAAATGAACAATGAATTTATTTTGTGCCTAATTAAACAAAAATGATTAGAAGTATTCTGAGAGAAATGTCCAAGACAGATTCTGCTTAATATTTTTACATATTACTAATTCTTTAAGAGGGATTAAAATATTAATGTTAAAACAAGAAATAAACACGTAATTCAAAAGCCAGTAAGTAAACCTAATTAAGTACTAGATTACTAGTTATCATTCTGAAGTAAATTCACTATAAAATATCTGAAACTTGGACCACTTAAAAATAATTATTAAAAATAAATTTTTGTATCCTTACATGTTAGGACAGTGTAATAACTTTTATCAATACACTCGAGACCGGGTACACAAAACTCATGGCCTAGGCCTGGCCAGCGATCAGGGACCATCAGGTTCCCCACCTCCCTGCCCTCCTTCCCTTGCTCCCTCAGTGCTCCGCTGCCACAGGTCACCCACCATGTTCGGCACCACCCCCTGGTGGTCAACGCATGTCACTGCGAGCAATCGAACTCCGGCCTCCTGGCTACACTCCAGAGGTTAGCCTTTTATAGATATAAAAGACAATGTGACATATAAACATCGTTTGCTCTGTCTATACAAAGCAAGAGATTTATTAAGAGGCAGAAAGAGAAAAAAGAGTACAGAACACCAATCTTTATTGAACAATTTTATTTTGATTTTTTTCTAAAAATATCAGGAACTATAAAAAAACAAACTCGATATTTGGCTGTACCAAAATCAGCACAAGTAAAACTAAAGCAATGCAAGTAGAATAACATTCAGAAATCATGTTTCATTAGAGAAACATGTTTGAAAGAAGCAAGTTTAATGCTCCTTTTCTCCACAGAACAAAACGAGTTTATTGGACCACAACACCACAGTGTACTTTTCAAAACTGACAATTTTTTAAAAAGGAAAACTTAAAGCATTCAATTCTAACCTGGAACCTTGTCACTTATAGAATAACATGCTCAAGTGTCAGTGAACATGAAGTTGGTAACCTTGAAAATGAGTCTCACTAGATGAACTCAGATTCCAACAGAACACAGCCCTTCCAGCTGGGAGGTCAGCTCTGGTCACACTCAGGTCTCCTGGACATAAACACACACAGTGGGGAGTAAAACAAATGGCTACACCTGGACTTCCTGTAGTAGCAGCTTTCACGAAATCAAAGGGTCCCCGCTCCGCAGGTGCAGTACGGCCACTTTAATTCCAAGTCCCAGAGTCTGGCACTGTTGAAATAAAAATAATCTTTGACTTGGAGCAAGTCTGATGAAAGCACCAGAATCCTATCCTGTTCCCCAAAATGATACTTTGAATGCTCTTATCATTCTTCCAAATTAATTTCAACCTATTAGGAGCTGGCATCCTAAGTATGTAAGGACATGTACAGAAGTCCCGGCCTCGCCTGCATTAACAGCCCTGTCTATTCCCCTGGCCCATCCAAATCTTCTGTGTGGTTTGCCAACACATGCTCACTAGTCCCTAAACCGGCGGCTCTCAACCTGTGAGTCATGACCTCTTTCACGACCATCAGAAAACACAGATATTTACATTACGATTCATAACAGCAGCAAAATTAGTTATGAAATAGCAACGAAAATAGTTTTATGGTTGGAGGTCACCACCACATGAGGAGCTGTGTTAAAGGGCCTTGGCATTAGAAAGGCTGAGAACCGCTGCTCTGAGGAAACTGTCAGCAGGCTGCTCCTGTGAGCACGTGTTATGCAAGCACAAGAAGTTCAGAAACAAAACTTTCAGTAGCAATTTTATATGGAACCCCAGCAACAGCTCGCAGAATCCCGTAGAGAAGCTCACCTCCGACATCAAACGACTGTTCCTATAAGAGGTTCTTTTCATTCGACTCAGATCCTTCTGCGACTCGACTTGCAAGTTCAGGTTTAGCTTCTCCCTCGCCTGACACAGGTTTTGCCTGCCCCCGCTCCTCACTATTCTCTGGCACCTGCTGGCCATTTTTTCCTTCTGCTGGGTCATTCTGATGTGATCTGTCACCAGCTTCTAACTTAGCTTCTTCCCCATTTCCTTGGGCTGCCTGCTTGGGGTCAGGCGGCCGTGCGTCCGGGGTGCTCTTGGCCACCTCCTGGAGGTTATACTTCCTGAACAACACGTAATCCTTCACAACACTCAGGCAGCAGACGGCTTTGATGATTTCCACTACCACTGTGTACTGCGGGTTGGTAAGATCCACTTTGTTTTCCGAGTTGAGGCTTCCTACAATTCCTGTAACGAAAAGAAGAGGGAAAAACAGGCTGAGAGGACACCGTGATGCTTCATGGATACAAAACATTCTTTCATCGCTGCCTGGGACTTGTTAAACCAAAGCACGTACCACGCCCCTCTTCCACACAGGCTGTCACAAACCCTGAACTCTTCCAAAAATAAATGCAAATGAAACCCTGAGACATTTAATAAGAGGACTTATTTTCCAAAGAAAAATTTAATCTCGGTTTGGAAAAGTCTTAATATCTAACTATCAGAAAACCTCATATCTAACATACTGAAATCAGTTAGGTTTGATATTATTTTAAAGACATTTTAATATATTTGCTCTACACTAAAAAATGTAAACCATAAACCTTTAAAAACTTTTTAAAAAATTATTTTTCAATTATAGTTTACATTTGATATTATTTTGTATTAGTTTCAGAAGAACAGTATAGTGGTTTGACAAACACATAATTTATGTAATGGTCCCACCAACCCCCACCCATATTGCCCACCTGACCTCATTCATAATCATACTAGTGGCCCAGTGCATGAAATTTGTGCAGGAGGTGGAAGGACGGTGTCCTCAGCCCAGCCTGCACTGTCACCAATCTGGGACCCCTCAGGGGATATCTGACTGTAGGTTTAGGCCCAATTCCACCAGGCCTACACCGGCAGTGGGACATCCCTCTCACAATCTGGGACCACTGGATCCTAACTGCTTACCTGCCTCCCTGCCTGGTCACCGCTAACCACTCTGCTTGCTTGCCTGATCACCCTCAACTGCCCCCCCATGCCAGCCTTCTTGCCCCCAACTACCCCCTCTGCTGACTGCCCCCCCTCCCACCAGCCTGCTCGCCCGCAACTGGCCCCCCTCCCCGCCAACCTGATCATCTCCAACTGCCCTACCCTCCTGGCCTGATTGCTCCTAATCACCTCTGCCTCGGACCCACCACCATGCTTTGTCCGGAAAGACATCTGGAAGGTCTCCTGGTCTAGTTAGCATATCACCCTTTTATTATTATACTAGAAGCAACTGCAGGAAGATTCGTGCTAGAATGGGCTTTCCTTTCCCTGGCTGCCAGCACCACCTTTCCACCCCGGCCCAGCCCCTTTCCACTCCGCCCCAGAGCAGCCCCTTTCCACTCCAGCCCCGCCTTCCCACGCTGCCCAGAAGCCCTAAGAGATAGGGGGGTGGGGCAGATCGCCTGCATCCTGCCCGTCCCATCACTTGGTGCCTGTGTATGCAAATTATCCGCCATCTTTTTGGGGTTAATTTGCACATCACTCCTGATTGGCTGGTGGCATAGCAGAGGTATGGTCAATTTCCATGTTTGTCTATTATTAGGTAAGATACTATTGACGATATTCTTTACATGGTATTTTACATTCCTGTGACTATTCTTTAACTACCAATTTGCTTCTTAATCCCTTCACTTTTTCACCCAGTCCTCCAACCCCTCCCCTCTGTCAACCATCTCTGTTTGCTGAACCTATGAGTCTCTTTAGATTTATTCTGTTCTTCAGATTCCACATGTAAATGAAATGATAAGGTATGTCTTTTTTTTTTTTTTTTTATCTCTCACTACATGGAATCTCTCCATTACTTTTTAAAAAATATATATTTTGTTGATTTTTTACAGAGGAAGCGAGAGGGATAGAGAGTTAGAAACATCGATCAACTGCCTCCTGCATTCCCCCCATCCCCCACCACTGGGGATGCAACAAGGTACATGCCCTTGACCAGAAACGAACCAGGGACCCTTCAGTCCTCAGGCCAATGCTCTATCCACTGAACCAAACCGGTTTTAGCTGGTATTTGTCTTTCTCTCTTTTTCACTTAGCATAATATCCTCTAGATCGGAGGTTCTCAGCCTTCCTAATGCTGCGGCCTGTTAACACAGCTCCTCATGTTGTGGTGACCCCAATCATAAAATTATTTTCGTTATTACTTCATAAACGTTATTTTGCTACTGTTATGAATCATAATGTAAATATCTGTGTTTTCTGATGGTCTTAGGCGACCCTGCTAGCAGTTCTCATCCTATGGTTCGTGACATTAGGAAGGTTGAGAACCACTGCTCTAGATCCATCCGTGCTGTCACAAAAAGTACAGCCCAAGAAGGGCTCCACCGTGTGTTATGTAGATGTATCATAGCTTTTTTACACAGTTGTTTATTAATGAGCACTTAGGTTGCTTCCATATCTTGGAAGTAATGCTGCAATGAACATGGTAATGCATATATTCCTTTGAATTAGTGTTTTGGACTTCTTTGGACATATTTTCAGAAGTGGAATCACTGGGTCATAGGGCAATTCTTTATATCAATAGATGCAGAAAAGCATTTGACAAAACCCAGCACCCATTTATAATAAAAACTCTCAAGAAAGTGGGAGCAGAGGAAACATATTCTATACAACACAGAGGAAATATGTAAATTGACCATACCTCTGCCACAAAGATGGCAGCACCCACAGCGGAGGCAGGAGGTTTCCATAACACAAGATGGCTGGGCCCACAGTGGAGACTGAGTTCCCTTAACGAGCAATCACCAGGGACCTGAGGCTGCCCCCACCCCGCCTGCCCTGTGGGGCTTGACAGGGGACTTCAGGCCACGCCCCCCACCCAGCAGGGTTTGAGGGGGGACCTCAGGCTGTGCCTCCCACCTTGGCACTGAGCCGGGGGACCTGAGGCTGCACCCACTGCCCAGTGGGCTTGAGAGGGGATTTCAAGATGTGCCCCCTGCCCCAGTGCTGGGCAGGGGGACCTCAGGCTGCTCCCACACCACCACGCTAGGCCAGAGGACCTGAGGTTGAGCCTGCCGCCAAGTGGGGCTTGACAGGGGACCTCAGGACACGTCCCCCACCCAACATGGCTTGACGGGGACCCTCAAGGAGGGCCCCCCACCCTGGCCTGGGCTGTGGGACCTGAGGCAGCATTTCCTACCCGGCAGGGCTTGACAAGCCCAACGGGGGGAGGGAAGAACGGCCAGCTCTGGGTCTTGCGAAATTATGAGGTGCACATGGGGGGGCAGGGACCAGACTCTGACAGGAGGAAGATTTTCACATGCATTTTACTAATTTTCTTCCATCTCTGACATTTCTATTATAGAGAAAGGGCAAATAGCAATATTAAAATATTTCCTGTAGGAGAAACAAAGACAGCGGCATAGGTAAATGCCTAACTACAGCCTCACACAATTTCAAAATATACAACTAAAATATAAAGTGGAGGAGGAGGATCCAAGATGGCTGCACAGGTAAACACCTAACCGCAGCCACACACAACAATTTCAATAAAATACAACTAAAATATAAAATGGACATTACCCAGAACTACAGGAAAGTCGACTGGAAATTCTACAACGAGAAGCAAGGAGAAAAGCAGAAGGAAGCGCGGAGGAGCTGTAAAAGCCTAAGGTACGGAGACACGCGGCGCACGCGGAGAGGACAGAGCCGGAGAGGAGGGGGAGGCTGAGTGCCAGGCTGGCGTTCCCTAGCGGGAAGGAGATAAAAGCTCCAGACTGAGCTGAGCCCCTGGGGACCCAGGTTCAAACAGAGGGAGCCGGGGCTGTGAGGCGGAACCCCGGGGGAGCGGCGAAAGGCAGAGCCCCGGAGGCGCGCACATTGCGCACAGAGGATGGACTGTTGACTCTGCTGCTAGATTGCCCTAGCGGGAAGGAGACAAAAGCTCCGGACTGTGATGAGCCCCAGTTCTGACTGCTCTGAACCCCAGTTCTAGGCCAGACCCCGGGGACTCAGGCTCATCCAGAGGGAGCTGGGCTGTAAGGCGGAACCCCGGGGGAGCGGCGAAAGACAGAGCCCCCGGAGCTGCGCAAATTGCGCGCAGAGAAGGGACGGTTGGCTGTGCCGCGGGATTGCCCTGGCAGGAAGGAGACAGGGGCTCCAGACTGCTCTGAACGCCACCTCCAATCCCACTTCCAGCTGAGCTGAACCCCAGTTCCAGGCCCATTGGGGGAGAGACTGGACTGTTTGGTGGCAGGCGAAACTCGAAGGCACCTCACTCTCTGAGGTGCTTGCAGCAAGTACTGAAGGACCATGAAGAATACTGAGACTCGGGAGCCGCATAGGACGTGGCTGACGGAAGCCAAGGCTGTAGGCTCTACCATGAAACTCCGCCCCATCAGGGAAGCTGCGAAAATGCCCAGACAAGGAAATAGATCACAAACGAAATGGAGAACAAAAAGCGACTGGATATAGAGTTTAAAACCACACTTATAAGGTTGTTCAAGAATCTCCTAGAAAGGCAGATAAAATAAATGAGACCTATGAGGATATGAAAAGGGATCAACTAGAAATAATAAAGGATCAACAAGAAATAAAGAATACATTGTCTGAAATAAAAATATTATACAGAGTCCTAAAAACAGAATGGAAGATCGCAAGAATCAAGTCAAAGATTTGTAACATAAAGAGCCAGAAGACACTCCTCCGCAAAAGCAAGAAGACAAGAGAATCCAGAAAGTTGAAGATAATGTAAGAAACCTCTGGGACAACTTCAAGTGAACCAACATCAGAATTATGAGGGTCCCAGAAGATGAGAGAGAGCAAGATATCGAAAACATATTGAAAGAAATAGGGAAAGAAAACTTCCCCCACCTGGTGAAAGAATCAGACTTACAAGTCCAGGAAGCGCACAGAACTCCAAGCAAAAGGAATCCAAAGAAGACCACACCAAGACAAATCATAATTAAAATTCCAAGAGCAAAAGACAAAGAGAGATATTAAAAGCAGCAAGAGCAAAGCAGGTAGTTACCTATAAAGGAGCACCTATACGATTGTCAGCTGATTTCTCAACAGAAACCATGCAGGCCAGATAGGAATGGCAAGAAATATTCAAGGTGATGAATAGTAAGAACCTACAGCCAAAGATAATCTACCCAGAAAAGCTACCACTCAGAATCGAAGGCCAGATAAAGAGCTTCACCAATAAAAAAAAGCTAAAGGAATTCATCACCACCAAACTAGAATTATATGAATTGCTGAAGGAGGTT